GGTGATAGTGATTATAGCACTGATTCCTGGCCGAAACTAGATTCAGTGATGTGGGTTTTTTTTTTTTTTTTTTTTTTTGTTGAAGCTCTTCATTAAAATTGTGATGACCCTTGAGATTAAAAAGCAGTTGGGCTGCCCAGAGCATGGTGTCTGGAGGTGTATCCCATCTCCTAGAGCTCAGTATTAAAGATCAGGCTTGTTCCACACTGCTTCCTTTTGGTAAGGGGCAAATATTGGGCGTCTCCCTAAGATGTCAGGTGTAACCCTGGTAAGCAGTGATGTCYTTTCGGTGAAAGATGGAGGAGAGATGGATGTTCATAACCTGCTTGTCTGCCTTGCTGCTGTTGTGCCTACTGCACTTTGGAAGGCCACACACAAATCAACACTAATAACCCCCAAGTCTCCCAGCTGCTTGGTGCTGAAGGAGCTGTGTTCCTTGTAATCTGTTGTGATCATGGCATGTTCCCTGCTAAGTGGGTACGTCCCCCATTAAACCCTTTGAGAAAGTATCCATGATTTCTTGCGCACGGAGCAATTGCACGATTGCCCATCCTTGTGCCACAAGAAGACGTGTGCCCAGCTGCATGTTTGTAGTTTGCTCTCTCTAGATGGGGTTGCTTAACCCCCTACTGTGATACTCAAAAGAGGGGTGGCCCTCTGACATATGTCCTATCAGCGAGGATTTTGGCAAGCAGGGAGTCCTCCTGGGACCATTCCCAAGGTCGATGCAGAGAGGCATCAAGTCATGGCTCTGAGAAGCAAGGAAGTATTCTCCATTTTCTTTCTTTTTTTTTTTTTTTTGTTTGTTTGTTTGTTTAATTTTCTGAGCTTTCCCCCTGACATACCAGAAGCARTTCTGCTTCTGTAGGAGTGAATCTGTGGAGTCCACTGCCCCAAAGAAGCGTGACACGTATTTGTGTAGTAAGGGGAACGGCAAGTCTTCCACAGTCTCCATGGAGCTGCAGGGCGATGGGAGGAGTTGAAATAATGCATTTCCACTGCCTTTTCACTACGGTGCGTTGACAGGCGCACCCACTGCAGGGTTCTACAAAGAGGTCCTTTCTTTTCAGAGGTATTAGCTTTTACTGTGAACATGGAAAAAACCTCCTCACTCAGAAGGGCGAGGAGGAAATGCTCTTTTCAYTCACATGCATCCATTGTGATGGACAGTTTGTGCCATAACAGTTGTAGCAAAAGGCAATACTGGCCAAAGCAGTGTTACTGTTGGTGCAGGAAGACTTTGAACCCCAACAAGAGGTATTTTTCTATATCTGCATTTGAGGGGTTCTGCTTGTCTTGGGTTTTAGGCATGAAATTATCAAGGGTTTCCTTCTAGAAACCAGGGCAACAGCAAAAGCTTTATCTGTATCTGATGAAGAGCTGCCCCTGCTGTCCTGTTAGCTTGATACTAACAGTCACATTGTTCTGTAATGGTGAGTGGATCTTCATTGGGTTTGGCCTAAAAGAGCTTGAACTGGACTGGGGAGGGAGGGAGTCCTCCCAAGCACACACCTGTGTTTTATGTCCCCTCAAAATAGGGACCATAACCAGATGTTGTCACTTGGATGTGAGTGCGATGGGAGGGGATGGGTCCACAGCCATAATCTTCACTACAGTGTTTGTGGCAGCATCTGGTACAGCTGTTCTTCCCAAACCAGCTGCAGGGTTCCTCTAGCCTCCTTGCAGGAAAAGTTGCAAGTAGCACCCTGCTGTGTTTTTTTTTTTTTTTTCCTCCAAGAAAAAATCTTTTTTTTTTTTTTAAGGATTTTAAAAAGATTTTAAAAAATCTTTAAAATTTGGCTGAGCCCTTTGGGAATGGTGTAAAATTATGAATTCACATGACGAAAGTCCTGCAGGCTAAAAGCTGCTGCAGACAGGTAGTGCGATGCCCAGTTGAAGTGGGTACTTAATAGCTTTTTGAAGTCCATGYGAACAGCCTATGGGATCCACATAGAAGTACTGTTCTGCTTTCACCCGTTTCCTCCTGACCTGCAAGTCCCCACCCGGGAGAGAAGGACTCTTACTGTAAAATTGTGGACTTTTAAACCTGTTGACTAAAAACAATAATTAATATTAATTTATATTTGTGAAAAAATGCCACTGTCCTAGTGATTTCTGATGTAAATATGTTGTTTATATAGTATGTATTAAATTTTCCTACATTGTAAAACTGCTGTACTTTTGATTCTTGTATATTAAAAAGTGTTACTGAGATTTTCAGAACCTCGCCAGCTTGGTGTGTCTGGTGGTGTCCTACAGTCCCTTTGATGAAATAGAGCCAGGCTGGACACTGTGAGCACAGAGTGCGTGCTTAGAACTGGAGATGTCATGGGATGTCAGGATCGTCTCCTGTAAGCCATAGGGTGGATGGATGTTCTCGCCATGCAGTTCAACTGTTTTATATAAGCCTGTCTGTAGTGATAAAGGGCTAATGCAGACTTGAGAACTGCTGCAGAGGGGAATTTCCACCTGACTGGGTGTTTCCTCATGTTTTCCATGTGTTTTCTCTCCAGTTGCCACCATGATTTTGGAGTGGACCGACTTTTATAATAATAGCTTTATCCAACATCCCATCTTCTGGATCTGTGGAGATGCGTGAACTTTTTGACATGTTCTTGAGGAAATTTCCGTGCGAGTCTGGCRTTCCCCATATATCAGTGGAGCTCCCAGTGGGATTTGCCTCTTTCTGCACCAGGGAACAGCAGCACATCAGCATCAAGCTCCGCAGGTTACTAGGTGAGGAGCGAACACGTATTACGTGCTGCAGCCTGGGGGCAGCTTTGCCTTGGTCTCCAGTAACTTGGTCCTTGTCTGGTTTAATCAGAGACAAACAYGCGGCCGGGGCCCTGCCAAGAACCAGCGCGGGGTTGAACCACTCCTCCAAAGCTGTAAGAGCTCATTGTAAGAAAGGCTTTTACTTCTCACACCTGTAGCCCCTGGATTCAGGCCTTTTCCAGCCTCCCTCGCGGTGGAGAGGAGCCAAGCTCCAGCCAGGAGTGAGGTTTCACAGCTGAGTTATATGCCCCTGACAAATGGGTTTCCTCATGGAAAGACTGACGGAGCCGCCCGCGGCGGCGCTTTGGCAGGGAGTGGTGTCTGGGCTCGTGAGAGGCCCGGCCGGGCGGCGCGGGAGGCTCCCTGAGCGCCGGGGCGCCCCACGCGCTCGTGCCCCGTGAGGCGAGCCCCAGCAGCCTGGGCCACAGGAGAGGTATTTAAGATGAAGTGCTGCAATAACACAGCATGGGTGGCTGACAGTGACGAGAAGCTCCCCACACAGGAGAGGGCTGTGCCGTTTGCTGGCAGCAACGTGCCCGGCCTCACGGCCAAGGCCTCGGCGCCCGGCACCCCGTGCGCTCCTGCCCGGTACAGCCGCAGCGGGGCTGGTTCTGTGCGATCCAGGGCAATGTCACTCTCGACCAGCCCAGCCTGAGGGCCAAGGCTCGAGGGGAGTCCGTGGGGTAGCCATGCCCAGGGTATGTGGCTTTTTGGGTCCTCTGAGGCGAGAGATCTTTCTGATGCAGAAAGGACTCTGCTTTTCAGTCCGTACTGACTGAAACATGCCGGAGTTGACCCTCTAGAGGGCAGCCACTTCCCAGCAAAAAGACGGGTTTTGCTGAACCCTCTCCTGATAGCAGGGGGGAGGGCCATGGCCACCTCCAAGCACCGCGCCCTTGGCCCTGTGCATATGGCTGGGCTCAGGACATGGCCTCACGTGGGGGCCGCACAGCCCCGGCCCCACAGCCCCTGCCTGCGGGGCAGGGTGCCCAGAAGGGCTGGAGATCTTTATCCCAAGGAGCAGAACCATAGGCAAGGGGTGGAGGTGGCTGCGAGGGGTTCTCTTCTCTTCCAYGCTCTCTCCTAACTTGGATGTTCTTCCTGAAACTTACTCCATGCTGCTCAGGGCTGCTGCAGCCGGGCTGTGCTTGGGTCTCCCGTTTCTGGAGCGTTAGGGAGGCTGGAGGGATTCAGGCTGCAAGCCACGTASCAGCACCAAGGGGCCAGCACTCCTTTCCACTGAGCTTATTGCCAGGGGTCCAGGGCCTTTCTGACGTTTCTAAAGAACTGTGGCAGCCTCTGCTTAGCTAAGTGGGAGTCCCCATGGCAGGAAAAGGAACAGGAGCTGTTGGAGGAGAGAGTGCAATGGCTGAGTCTTGAGCAGGGCTGGGTTTTCTTTAAAATGTTGCTGTGCCTTCTGCCTGTGTGGATGTGTTTGGCCTTAACAGCCTCCTGGTCCCAGCTGCCGAGACCCAGATTTCTTTAGCTTTCTAAAAGGGGATAATTAATGCTAAAAGGAACRATAGTTTTGGTTCCCGCTTTAGAGGGTGGTAACAGACCCGGTTTGGGCCAAGAGCTGAGCTGCAGGTGCTCATTCCTGGGGATGGGGAAGGAGGGAGACTCGAGCATCTTGTGTTGTTGCAGGTTTGCCTTCTTTCACAGCTCACCTCATTACTTACATTTACCTCCTCCCACACACCCCTTTTTTATTTTCTTCATTTGGMTGTAGATAAATAAGACCCCAGAATGAGAGTTCAGGGCACAGAAGGTGGGGTCCACGGGTTGCAGACTGCAGAGACAATGCAGCAGAGCTGAGGGCGTTCGCATCTTCAAGGACAAGACAGCACCATGCAACACACAAGGAACAAAAGAGACCCACAAATTTATTGTCAAAAAAATCCTCAAATTTTACTTGCATTTTTCTCAATAAATAATTTACAGTATATACACGCGGTGACACTCCCATGGGTCTGAATGCAGGGAGGAGGTGGGAACATTCTCATAACGCCACCCTCCGCCTTGCCTACCTATTATTTTGTTTGTTTGTTTTTGTTTCCAAGTATCAGGTCTTTCTTGGCCACACTTCATCTTTAACCAGAATTGGGTCAAACAAAACCAAAATAAAGTGCTTCACTGTTTGCTTCTAAAATATGGATACCCCCAACTAAACCACCATAGTACAGCTGACCACCACTGGAGCGCTCACCTGGAGAGAGGGGCACAGGGCTATGAGATAATGATAGACTTTTCTGGGCTGGAAATTAGCCCAAAACCACAGCACAACCTGCCTTAGCATGATGGCTTTTTAGGAAGCAGAAGTCATTTGGGAAGTAGTAACACATCACTACCCTGCTGCCCGGCTCAGCCCGCTTTGAAGGAGTGCCGGCTCCTCASAGGGATGCTTTAAAGCCTAGTAGGGTTATCTGTGGGGGTAACAGGTTGAGAAGCAAAAGTCTCCTTTTATGCAGCGACAAGTTTTGGCTTTCAGAACTTGCATATCCAATTTCTAGGGGAGACAAAAACTTGGCTCTTCACTTAGGAAAGGAAACAAAAAGTCCTGGCCTCAGCTAAGCCATTAGTGCATCGGGAAGCTGCCGCCCTGTGTGGCATTAACCCATCCAGTGCCACGGTCCAGTAGTTGGTCTCCTCAGTGCCTCCAAACTGTGATATCCTTATTTTAAAATCTCCCTAGACAGAATACCTGGGGCATCAGCAAACAAAGCAAGGAGCAAAGTAGTAAACACATCTTTTTTTTTTTTTTTCCACTTCTTCCCTTAAACATTTAAAAAAACAATTACATCTCTTCATCTGTACAGTCACACGAGATCAATGCCAGGGCTCTATATATTAAAAAGACAATATAAATTACATCCATCGACACAATTTTGCATTTCTCTGCTGCTTTACAAATGGAGCTCTAGAGCTGTTAGGACACACTGAATAGTCACGTTAAGTATTTACATCAGGCTGCCTCTTGGCACCAGTTCAGACTGCCAAATGTCCCCCCTCTTTTGGTGATAGCTTGTTTCATCGTGCCTGGAGACCACCCTGGAGAACAGGAGCTCCCCCCATAGTTTGGGGCTGATTTCAGGGAATTTCCCACTAAGGAATGGAGGCGAAATCTATAAAGAGGTCTCCAAGACGCAGACCAATGGTGGTCTTGCCGCTTGTTCAGTGAGTGTTGAGGTGAACCACAGAGGAGCACGGGGAAGAAGAAACAGGCAGCCTACACCATGGAGGAGGAGGAAGATTACTGATGGTTTCAAGCCAGGGAACAGACATTTGGGAGCTTTTGGGAAAGGGTGTGTGGGGGGGTCCTCTGCTGCATCCAGTCTCCTGGCTGGCTTTCTAACATGGCCCCGTTTCAGATTCAAGCCCAGCAGGGCTTCAGGTGCGACAGGTCTGAAACGGGGTAGCAAGTCATGCCTCAGGACTAGGAGAGGAGCAGAGACCTAGCAGCAAACAAACAGGGAGCGAAGCTCCGGCTCCRCCCGCGGGGCCCGGCTGGCTCGTGGGCTTCCCTCGCGAGCTCTCGGGGCGGGCGCAGGCCCTGCCGCTGCCACGGCGCCGGGGAGCCTGCGGATCGGCTCTCCCCGCCAACCAGCCTCCCYGCTGCCCATTTTAAGCGAGCAAAGGGCAAATGGCGCAAGAACTTCTCCAGTGCTGGGCGAAAGTTGAAGAAACCGCTTGAATACTAGCCAGGTTCCTCCTGTCACAACCAGGAGTCCTCAGTGGATCTGGGCATGGGCATTAGGCAGCAGGGAATGTTAAAACCCGCTGAGCGAACCAGCCCAGGGAACAGGCTAAAAGAGGGGATGCCCTTCGAGCTGCAGTGACCACCAGGACTTGAGGAGCGTGTCCYGCTGTGACCAGAAGCTGCCTCGTGCCGCTGGCCACAGGGCAGGAGAGCCCAGCACCAGCAAAACGCTGTGTCCTTTCCCTTTGGCCCCCGCTCTCCCTGTCCCTAACGCCGCTTGGCACCGGTGCTTGCAAAGGAGCAGGATTACCCTCAGAGCTGGCTGTGCCAAACAGGCCGCTGAAGGGGCCACAGGCCCTGGCCCCATCCTGCCTCCTCACGGGCACTGCACCCCTAACACAAAGCCACGGTCACAAACGCCAACGTCACAGTCACCACGAGCATTTTCAGTACCACGAGGGAGCACTAAGGGGAGGCTGGTGCTCCCCGACATCCATACTACTGGGAGGAGGAGGAGCGGGGGAGGTGGGGAAGTGCCACGTGAGGTATAGTCCAAAAAAAACACTCCTAACCGGTCCCGGGGACAGCACGTTCCTCCTGGGCAAGAACTGGGAAGGGGAAAGGCCAGCACTGAAGAGAGGCGCTGAGATTTGAGGACAATCCTTTAGCTCCCAGCTGGATCTGCTATCCAACCTCTCACTGTCCAGCACTGCCGTCATGTCACCCCTTCCTGCTCCCCTCTTCCCACTCTACACGGCACGTGGGAGTAAACATCTATAACAACACTGACCACCACTGACTCAGACACAGCAGGGCTGCCCAGAGGGCGAGGAGGGCCCGAGGACGCCGCGAGGGAGCCGCGTTGCCAGCACTCAGGTCCCGTGTCCTTTCATAGAGGTGCAGTTTTTCCTTGTTGGAGTGAAGCATCTTCACATCCTCAAAGGCGTAATAAGCAGCCAGCATGAAGTTGACATCCCCTGTGGTGAGGAGGTCGAAGACGCAGGACTGGAAGTAGAGGTCCTCTACGGGCAGCTTTTCCCTGCACTTGGCTGTGGCCGTTTCATACGTGAAGGCCTCGGGGGCGGCGGGGAGGACGGGCCCCTTCCTACGGGTGCGGCCCTCCGTGGCCTGAGGGGAACGGAAGGTCTGGACATCAATCTGCTGGTTGAGCGGGCAGCCGCGGAGACACAGGTAGAGGCCCTGGTTGTCCCTATCCTCCACGGCATTCACCACCTCTTCCGGCATGCGCACAGCAAAGGTGAGGTACCGGCCCACCTGCCTCACCACGATAGTGGTCCCAATGTACTTTGCTTGGATCTCAATGTGCTGGCCCGAGACCTTTTCAGTGATCTTCAGGCTGTTGGCTCCATGTTTGTCTCCACCATTCTTGGAGCCGTCAGCAAAGGCAGCAGGTAGCTCATCCATCTCTGCCTGGTACACTTTCTGGTCCACACACTCCTGGAAGCTCTTGAAAATGATGGTGAGCTGTAGGGGAAGAAGGAAAGGAACAGGATCACAACCAGTACTGATAACCCAAGCAATATGCAGGGAAGTAACATGGGAGTAGGATTCCTCAGACTATCCAGGARCAGGATAGTCAACTGATGGCAATGCGTTCCCCCTAACATGTGGCCCCAACTTTTGGGCAACCAAACAAGGTCATCCTTCCTCAGCACGAAAGCAAGGACAACATGCAAGCAAGTTGCACGGAGACAGGAACCAGAGGCAGGATTGAACCTAAGCCTACAGTTTGAATCTGAGCTCTTATCTTGTAGGCTAGCACAAGACCTCTCTTGTGAGGAATATCATGAATTACAAGCTTGTTGTGACATGCCTATGCACATACGGCTGTCTCGCCTGCGGGGCCTGGCAGCTGGCAGGGAAGATGAGTCCTGACTCTCCTGAGGACTCTTCCTTCTCTGTTGGCTCCCATGGCATTTAGATCCTGGCCTCCTCCCCTTCCCAGCCTGCTCACAGACAAACAGGGTCTCTTCCTTTAGACCCAAGTTGATGCCAGACTCTGTCTGAATCACGCACACACATGTGTTTATTTGTTCCTCATGCTTGTGTGTGGATGCCTCCATTTGGAGGGATACTAGCAAAGGCTGGGCCCAAGACAATTCCTCACCTATAACCTAAGCTCAAACTTGTCCTTCTGCTACCTCCTCTGAGGTCCAGCCCTGCCTTTTGATGAAGATTAAAACAGTAGGTCAGAAACTGTTGTGTAAAACCACAGAGAGCCCCATGGACCAAGAGGCTCTTGCCCTTTCCAACAGCACATGGTCCTCTAGCCAAAGAATTACTCAGTAATTCTTTACAGAGCTCATGCTGCTGATCCCATGACTAATCCCTCCTCACCACAAGCCCACAAAGAAGGAAGAGACTCATAAGATAGCCATCATCCTGGGATCTAACATGGAAATCCCTGATCCCTGGGATCTTCAGTCACCCAAATTCTCAACCTTGCAAGACTTCAGCAGGTTTTAATGCCATTTGGAAGATGAAAAGTTTCTAAGAGCTACAGTAAGTATTCCCTAAGGAAGTTATTAGGGACAGGTTAAAACCAAAACGCCAGTTCCACCTTGCACTAAGAAGTGCACTGCTAGAGATGAATTTGTCCTCAGATCTCAATATCGCCAGGATGTTTTGGGGCTCCCTGTTTCACAGCATTTATAGGTAAGATACAAAACCCCGTCAGAAGATGGGCTTGGCAGGAAGCCCAGCTTCTCACACTGCCCCAGCAGACATGCATGCCCTGAAGCCAACAGCCATCACCATCCCTTCACTGGCAATGGGTGGAACTTGAGGCTTTTCTCCCCAGATAGTGCTCTCTGATGCCAAGGTGCAGCAACATCTCCTTTAACTGACCAGCAACCATTCCTTGTGCTGGCCTGTTGTACTCCCTTGACCTCTCTGCTCCCATACAGGGCTCTCCTGCTTTGAAGGGCTCAGAGGGCTGCACCCACTGCCCAATAGATGGGTGGCACAACAGGGACAGGAAGGGACAGAGACAGTGAGATTAGGTGATATGGGAGACAACAAGTGCAGATGCCCTTTTGGCCCCCACATGGGAAAAAAGGGATCTGAGAAGCGGGATTGGGGCTTGTCCTCCAGAAGCTGCTGCCCTCAATCCTGGTCTAACTGTTCACAGCTGTCTTGGGTCCCCAAGGTGGGGCCTCTACCCCTTTGGCTACGGCTATCCTCTGAGCTGCACCATCTCATTATAAGGGGCCACATGAAGAAAGCACAGGTTGTTTAAAAGAAAAACAAAGCTGGGAGCAGAGGAAGGGGAGAGAGGACAGGTGTCTGAAACCTAAGGCCGCTCACGAATTCAGCGGGGCTCCTACCCCATCTTATCTTCCTCAGGGAGAAGCTAATCTTCCTCATCTTCCTCCTCCCTGACTGGCTCTGCTCACAGGGCCTCACCTTGCTCGTGGCGGTGGCTGTGGAGCCAGGCAACACCGGCGTGTTGGTGACCTGGACGTTCAGGTAGTTATTGTCTATGAGCGGCCAAGCCCCTTGCACCTTGCACGTCTGGAAGCTGTCTGTGAAAGTCCTGAGGTGGGGGTCTCCAAAGAGCCCACAGTGAGTATAGTTCGGGGTGGCCGAGTGCTTGTGAAAGCTCTTTTCGTAGTGGCAGATCTCGGGGCTGTCGGAGCGCTCTTGGCTATCGCCAGGGGGTAATGTCCGGAGCCGGGGCTGGGAAGTGGGGCCATCCTTGGAGCAGTTGTGCTGCACCATGAGATCGTCTATGCCATGAACGGCGGAGTGGTAGGCCAGGTCGCCCCTGCACGTGCGGGCCGTGCTGCGGGTGCAGTGCGCATAGGCGCGCAGCGCCGTGCAGAACTCGGGCACCTCCTCCGTGCCCGGGTGGTGAGAGCCAGACGTGGCTGCCAGGTACTCAGAGTTGCACTTGAGGATGTTGCATGGAGACGTCACTGCAGGAAGGGAGAGCAAAAGGGAACAGAAAACACAACATGATCAATACTTGGGTCTCCTCTCCTGGCTAGTATACCCCTGCATGTGGGGATCTAGCTTTAGGTCTAGCAAAAAGCCCAGTCTTCCTCCTTCAATGCGAGCTCATGATRCTGACCCCCCGCCACGTGATGGGGGCCCAGTCACCGGACATGACCCTCTCACATGACCCAACTCTCACACATTAAAGCTCAAGTAATCAGCAAGATCTGCCTCACTTTAAGCCAAGAAGGGAAAGAGCATCCAGTCTTCAGATCAACCCTCCCGAGGGAAAAATAAGATGGGGAAGAATGGGATGTATTCATTAGTTGGGATAAGGTAGGGTCATTAGTGTGGGGGGGACATGCAATGGGGTTTTTAATGCCTTTTGCAGGCTCGACATGTAAAATGCTATGTTGCCAAAAAAAAAAAAGGAAAACTGTATGAATTACTGTGCTCTGTGTTCAGACTGAATTCTACCACAGCTAAAATGTGCGCACCCTGCCTTTGAGGGCCAAGCGGGCACTCCGTGATGCACAGGGTCACGGCGTACGTTCCGGCAGGCTCTGTGCCTCGCACAGGCACAGCCMAGAGCTTTTTGCAGAGGTGCTGGAAAGCACCTGATCTGCTAGAGCTGATAGCTCCAAGGCAGCCCTACGCTGCTCCAGCAATCCCAAAGAAGGTGCCAACCTCAGCTTAATGAGTAAGGACTCTCTGAGCTTGACCCGTCTCTCCAGTAGCTGTTTGCTCCCCCTTGAAGAAACTCTTCTTCTCTCACTACATGGGCTCGAGACACCTCTGCCCTTATCCACCTTGCACTGTGCCTGCACTTCGGAAAGCTGCACAGAGATGCAGGTGTCAAACAGAAGCATGTGCAAAGAAACAGGCAAGGTGATAATCAGCCTCCTCCTCAGCTGTGTTAGTGACAGATCAGCTGCAAGATRTCTCAATGAGGCAGAGATGCCTCCATCAGCAAGGTGCCGGCTCCGAGTGCGCTGGGTCCTACAAGGACAAGACAGTGCGGGGCAGCCCTGCTGCTCCTGCAAGGGTTTAAATGTCTCTTGTCAGTGTAAATGCCAGACTGAACCTGAGAAGAGTTACCAAGAGCTTGGAATGACACTGCTTTCTTACAGAGCCTGCTAGGCAGGTCAGGAATCTCCAGGGCTCCCCAGGGGCTACCTCATGGAAGGGTTTTGCCATTCCAGCTGGGAAGCTTTCACAGATTGGACTGCTTAGGGCCCCAAGCATCTCCCCAAAGATGCCCCCAAGCACCAGGACTGCATCCGCAAGTGCTCAAGGCTGCAAGAGGCCGGATCTGCCAAGCTCTTGCTTCATCTGCCATGCACCTTGTCCGGTCCCGGGATTGGGCGGACAACCCGCCCACAGAAAAAGCAGAGAGCGCAGCCGCCCGGGGGGGCTGCACCGCACCGAGCACCTCTGCCCTTTGCAGTGACCTTGGTCGGGAGCAGGCAGCCGGGAGCGGAGCCAGGTCTGCTTGGGCTGGGGACATCCCTGGCAGGGCCGGCGCTCACAGCCACCTTGCTCAGCGCACACTTGCAGAGCGCAGYTACCACGCTCTGCCTCGCCTCGGCCAGGCCCCGCGGCGGGCTGGCAAGGAAAATCGGGATACGTGCTTTTCTTTTTTTTCCCCGCTCCCCCAATGTCTGTCCCCCAGGGCAGTGTGGCTTTCCTGGAGCAGACTTGAAAGCAGCTGCGTGAAAGCACATGGCCTTCATGGAGCATCGYGCAGCCGCTGCTCTGCCGCTGCCAATGCGGAGCCCTGCTGGGTGAACCCAGGCTCACACCACTTAAAATTCATGGGGTTTTCCTTCCTGTCCTCTTAATCAACCCCCTCAGAGAGCTTGGGAACTGGATGGGCTCAGACACCCAAACGTGACAACAGCAGCAAAAAAGGCCACCATTTCCAGATGCCCTTGTGGTGCCTCTCGCAGGCAGACACGTCTCATTCCTGTCTCGGGGTTTCTTTAACAGGAGGCTGGCAATGCATTTGTGCCAAAATCATTTCAGATTTGTTTAAAAAGAAAGTTACAAACCCCAGTATTGTTTCAGAGACAACAGTATGTTTTAGTTTTAAACATTCCCTTGTAGTACTGGAAACTAAACATAGCCGGTGCTGGAAAATCAGGAAGGGGGAGTGAGACTATAAAACACTAAGCAGCTCTGCTTCAAGACACAGCCTGTCTCCACTCTTTCCAAAAGGAGTGAAGTGCAAATAGGAAACGGTGACAGGTTCTTCACGGTTTTAAATTTCATGTTTAATAAACGCAGATGCTAGCAACAGTGCAGAGCGCATGAAGCTTGTTTTGGCCCAGCAGCGTCCAAATTAAACCTGCAAGAAACTGTGGAAAGCCTTTGTGTCTTCTTTAACTGGTCGTTAGCCAGAGGTAACTGGATAGCAGGTTTTGGCCTGGTACTTGGGCACTCTGCTAGGCCTTCTACGTTTGCGAGTCAAGTGTGCAATACTTATTATGCCATCTGACTGCCTCCCCAGCCCCAGGAGAGCATATTTCTACCAAAGACTTGTTGCTTCACAGTTGCTTCTACGGCAGTGAAATGAAGGCGAGTGCCCCAAGCGAACTCCCCAAGACCCTCCTGGTGGAGAGAAGCAGCCAGGACAGGGGGCAAAAGCCCCACAACTACCTCTGCTGCTGCTCATACGACTGCGAGTTCAGGCAGTGGGATCCTTGCTCTCTTAGTAGTTACACCCCAAACAAAGCTCGAGGGTGCCCTGAGGGTGCACGGCCTCACAGTTGTGTTTTAGGATTTGATACTTTTTAGGAGGAAAAAAAGCACGTTGCTCCTTAAGGGCAGGCTTCACCCGCTTGGATGAGGAGCCGAACGCTGTGGGCCGGGGCAGCACGTGCTCCGGACAGAGCGGGCTGCGCGTCAAGCTGCTGTCGAGGAAGGTTCTCCCGCCGCCTCTGAGTGACAGCGTTCCTGGTGAGCCACCAAACCACCGCAGAACCACCACGGGGACAGTCCAGGGCATGGGGACGCAGCGGCCTGCGAGCTTCGGGGCTGCATCACCCATGGCGAGCGCTCAACGCCAAGCGCGGCCCGTGCGCCCAGTGGCGAGCTCATGACTTTATAAGGTACTAACTTAAATTTAAAAAAAAAAAAAGGAAAAAAGAAGGCAGGAGAGCCCATCTCTTCCCTTCCCAGGCCTGAAGGGGGAGCGTTCTTCTTAAAGATGTTATCGCGCCGCTCCTGGCACGCGGCCCCGCTGCGCCCAGGGCCCCATATAAGGCCAGATCTCAGGAGCCAGGTGCCGGGCGGCAGCACGCGGCGGCCGGGCGCGCGGGCACATGTGCACGTGCCCTTCCCGGCCGCTCGCCTCGCCTCCTCCCACCGCTTCCMTAGGGTTTGGAAAAGCGCCGTGCACACGGAAGGTGCCGGCCCCTCCTGTCCTCTCCCTCACCAAGGCCGTGGTYGGCCCTGTTTTTATGGAGGGACGAACCCCGCGTGGGCCTCGCTGGTGCTGGACGTGGCGGTTGTGCCCAGCCGGGCTCGTGCCAACCCTGCGTGACTCACGCGCTGCCCATGTGGCCCCAATGGGAACCGGCCACAGCCCAACCGCTCTGCTGGGCCAGAGAGCCGGGAATCGCGGGGATGGGCGACAGGCAGGACCCTCTCCCCCTGCTCCTGGGCTTCTCCCCCCATCCCTGCTGGCAGCGGTTCCGGCGCCACAGCACACGCGCATCTGTACCCGCGCCAGGGGATGATGTTTATTCAATTTCACATAATCTATTTTCCATCTGCTCACAATGGATCTGTTTTTCGAGCATGGATGATTTAGCACGGCAACAAAAACCCCTCGCAGCGCAGAGCCGGCCAGCCTCTCCCATGGGGCGCGGGCCAGGGCCTGGGTGCCACCAGCACCCTTGTCCATAGGCAACAGCTCCTCACCCCAAGGACACACCAGTATCTCTCRCTGGTGGTCCAAGCACCTCCAGCCTCATTCTTGTCTTCACCTTTGTCCTTCAAGCAACCTTGGGTCCCAGCACAGCATGGACAGACCTGAGAGGGACACAGAGCCATGGTGTGTCACAGCATGCCTGATTTCTGGAGACCAACAGTTTGGGAAAGCTTAAGACCAGAAGAAAAAACATTAATTTTGCCTAGTTGATAGACCCTTACTRACCTGTGCTTGTTTAAGCACCTGCCCCAGCAGGGCAGCTCACACTGGAAAGTCACCAACCACTTCCTCCAGGTTGGAGGGCTTATCGCCTGTACCAAACATGAGCCTGGATTCTGACGGGGGTTTTATCTGACTCACTGTAAGGGCATAAAAAGAACCAGTGATTTTCTCCAAAGCAGTAAAAAAGTCCGTTAGTGACCAGTATGTTTCCCTCAAAGATATTTACACACTGCAATCAAGTCACTTGTCAATCCCTTAGATAAGCTAAACGGTTTGCACTTTTAAGTTCTCACTGGAAGGTGTTTGCCCAGCCCTACAATCAATGCTGCCTTCCTGCCCCCACTCCAGCGTTTCAGCCTCCTTTGCAGAGCCCTGGCCGTGATCGCTGCCAGCCTGTTCCCTGCGGTAATGCAAGGACCTTCTCAACAGCTTCTGGCCTGCACCAGACCCAGGTTTCCATCTCTCATGGGCAGCCCTTGCTGAGCCACTGGCTCACGCATTCCTCTGCGTTTTATCAGCACTGATTTCCCAAGGGGTCTAAGTGCACTAAGTTGACTCCCATTGCCTGTGAAACCTCTCTTAAAACTATCACCACTGGACAGTCCTTCTTGGCCACAACCTTCTCAACCCTCTGTGTGCTCAGACCCCTGATACCTCAACGCTTTTGCATTACAGGCTGTTAAATTGAATGTTCAAATGCATTACATGAGCGCATCAAAATTTTACAGCCAAAAGGCTAACCTCAAATAATGAAATCAGCTCTGTGTGACGAGACTTACTTTTCAGCTATGCTGAYTGCTTTTAATTATATACTACTAGCCTTTT